CTAGACTCAGGAACCCCTTCACCCAATTCAGTTTTAATGCAAAGTATTACTTAAAGTTTTTTTTAAAAAAATAGTCCCTATGCATATATATATAGATATATATCTATATATCTATATAGATATATATCTATATATATATCTCCATGTGATACATATATACATATGACCCTGGGCAAGTCACTTACCTTCTGTTTGCCTCAATTTCCCCACCTGTAAAATGAAGATATTAATAGCACCTACATATCCTGAGGTTGGTGTGAGGATCAAGTGAGTGGAAATTATAAAATGCTTAGTATAGTACCTGGCACATAGTAAATGCCATATAAATGTTGTTATTACAACCTCCATTTTTTGGAGGGGCCCAGACTGACCAGTATTCATTCCTTCCACTCCTGATGTTTTAGATTGTAAAGCTATCCTTCACTCTTCTAGATTTTTAGCTTGCTTTCATGTGTTTTCTTTCCTAATTAGAATATGAAGTCTTTGACCTCAGGGACTGTCTTTCTTTATGCTTGTTTTTGTGTGCCCAGCATCTAACACATTAAGTGCCTGACATTAAGTGCTTAATAAATGCTTATTTCTTTCCTTCCTTTAGCCACTTAATAAATTTCATTTTGGAAATAAAAACTTGAGACAGGCAGACCCACCAGTGGGCTATTACAATGGACCACTGTAGGGTAATGTGGACCTGCACTAGAGGAGTGGCAATGTTAGAGGAGAGAAGGGGATTCAGAAGGAGAAAAGCATAAACATATTTGAAAATACACACACACACACACACACACACACACACACACACATTTAAAAATAAAGCTATCTTTAAAAACAACATGGTGTGGTGTCTAGGCAGTCAACCTTGGAGCCAGAAAGACGTGGATTCAAGTCCCAACTGTGACATGTGTTGACTATGTGACCCTGGGCAAATAATTTAACCTCTCATTGCCCTCAAGCAAACCCATTAGTACTCTAATGTACTGCAATAGGCATATATAAAAATATGATGCTATGACAAGAGCTAATTCTCATAAAGATTTTGAAGAGATGGAAAGATAGGGATCAGTTTATGTATATATATTTTTTCAGTCAACTTTCTTTTTTTAAAAAAAAATATAGGGTATGAGTTTTTTCCAAGTGTTTGGTATCCTCCTTCCTCTTTCAAAGGCATTGAGCCTTCAATGTCCTCAAAATTGCTTGGCTTCCTAAATGGACTTTCTTTAGTGATACTTGGTCTAACAAAGCTAATTACTGCCAGGACCAAGGAGTTGTGGCCCTATATCCACTTTCTTTTCTGGTAAGGGGCCCCAGTCTTCTGGACCAACATAGGCAGTCCAGATCAGATTCTGTTCTAGGGTAACCTGACTTTTAATGAGAGGAATTAGGCTCTCTTTTCTCCCACTCTTTGGCTCAACCTCTCCCTGGTACCTTGGAACAGTTTACTTAAACCTTAAGTTTGGACTATGTCTAGCATCTCCCCAAAAGAAGGGGAATGGAAAAGTACTCAATGAATAATATGAATCTGGAATAGGGTAGATATTTATTTCCAAACACAAAAGAAATGCTAAAAGACCTAAAAGACTCACAGCGCAGACTGGTTAGACTTGAGCAATCAGTAATTTATGACTTGGAACTACTATTGCAATCTTTTGGGAAGTTGAGTTAAAAACATTGGAACATAAAGCTGTAGAACAACTGACTAGGCTGTGTTGCATTTCACTTAAGTTATACATTGTTCAAACAACACTTGGTCTATATTTTCATGGGCTTCACCAGGGTTTAGGTGGTCATTTTCTCATGTGAAAAAAAATCCTCAGATTATTGCTGGTTGGCTCTCCCCAGTGGAGCTAGAACCTGTGGATATCTCAGAAAGAACTCATTATCTTTCTCCCTAAACCCTTCTCCCATCCTACCTTCCCTATTACTGTAGACAGCAACGTCATTCTGCCAGTTCCCCAGACCTGCAACCTAGGAGTCATCTTGGATTCCTCACTATCCTTCCCACTCCCTGCTCCCCATTCAAGCTGTTGCCAAGGCCTGTCTTTGCAACATCTCTCATCTTAGATCTGGCCAACAGGAAAATGGGCTGCTTTTCTCCTTCTGAATCCCCTTCTCTCCTCTAACGCTGCCACTCCTCTAGTGCAGGTCCACATTACTCCACAGTGGACTATTGTAATAGCCCACTGGTGGGTCTGCCTGTTTCAAGTTTCTCCTCACTTCAATCCATTCTTCATTCAGTCACTAAAGTGATTTTCTTAAACTGCAGTTTTGATCTTGTTCCCCCCGCCAATAAACTCCAGTGACTCCCTACTTTCCCAGTCTTCTTATACCTTATTTCCCAAAACATACTCTTTGATCTGTTGACAGTGTTCTCCTGGCTGTTTTACAAACAAGACATTCCATCTCTCAGCTCTAGGCAGTTTCTCAAACTGTCCCCTAGGCCTGGAATCTGCTCCCTACTCCTCTTTGACTACTGGCTTTCCTGGCTTCCTTTAAGCTCCAACTAAAATTCCATCTTCTACGGAAGCCTTTCCTAACCCCTCTTAATTCCAGTGCCTTCTCTCTTTTAATTATTTCCTTTTTATCCTATATGTAGCTTGCTTTGTATATATTTGTTTGCATGTTGTCTCCCCCATTAGATTGTAAGCTCCTTGAGGGCAGGGATTGTCTTTTGCCTCTTTTTGCATCCCCAGAATTTAGCACAGTGCCCAGGACATAGTAGGCACTTAATAAATGTTTATTGAGTGGTTGAAACTCACAAGTTTGCCTCCAAACCTAGACATGTCAATTTCAAGGTCAATGTTCAATCATTTACTCCAAAAAGGGAACAAGCAGAAAAAGCAGATGAAGTCCCAGTAACTAAGCTCTTCCTATGAATTACCTTGCTTCACTTAGCATGTGAGACCAGCCATTGTGATGCCCAGGGTAGGGAGACAAAGACCTGCCTTTCCCTCAGAAGAATTTTGGTGAAAGAGACACTTGCCCCATGAGAGAGAGAAAGTTGGAAACTGTCTTTTCTTTTTAACTGACAGAGCACTTACCACCCAAATCCCCTACAGCTGTCACAGGATTTCCTGCTTCACACCAAAGTGCCAAGCTCTCTCAGCACTGGCCTACCCTATGGTGACTAAAAACAGCCAGGGATATAGTCATCTTCAGATTGCACAAGCACAGTCACCACCATTGGTAAGAATCAGGCAAGGAAGCTCTGCTAATGCTCCATGTATTCCCTAATTATACTTGATCTAGTCTTACTATTCTTCCCATGCCTCTTTAGTGCCATTTCGATGTCCTATGTACCACATCAGTGGTAGTTCCATTATCATCGATGAAAAAAAGAGATTATTGTAGAAATCTTTACAAATCTTTTCCATTATTATTCTCTCTCTTTTTCCTTTTCCAGTCTCATCCTTAAGTATTCTGAGGATGACTCTGCTTCAATGGATCTCTGGTCAACCTTACTATAAACTTGCTTTTTCTCTCCACTGTTTCTAGAAGGTGTGAGGCTAATTTTATCCTAGGCTTCACCTGTTTTCACTCAGCCCCTTTTCCTTCTTTTTTTTTTTTGAAAGTCACCTTTTAATGAAAGTTTGAGCACATGTAGAGAAAATAAAAACACATTTAAATATTTATTAGCTTGCACTCAAAGTTGTAGTGTTATATTTGGTGATCTACCCACGACATACAGTGCCTGAATAAACAATCAGGGCTGACACAAATAAAATACTTATTAAATATTTTTAAAGGAAAATTTTAGAATTAATATTTTAAATCAATGTTAATATCACTGAGTATAATGAATAGTTCACAACCATAAAAATCTTGTCTATAAAATAAACATTTTGCACCAGGATCAATCCATTTCAACAATCAAAATTCTGCTGCCAGTAATATACCAGTTTAGATCATTTCAGCCTTACCCTAGCAAGGACAAAATATATATACATATATAATCTTAGAATTAGAAAGGTTCTTAGAAGCCATCTAGTCCATACTTCAAATGGTTTTCCAGATTCTAATTGAATCTATGCATCTTTGCACTGGCTATCCCCTATATTGGAGCAACTAGGTGGCACAGTGGACGGAGTGCTGGGCCTGAAGTCAGAAAGACTCATTTTTCCTGAGTTCGAATCTGGCCTTAAACATTTACTAACTATGTGACCCTGGGCAAGTCACTTAACCCTATTTGCCTCAGTTTGCTTATCTGTAAAATGATCTAGAGAAGTAAATGGCAAACCACTCATTTCTTTCCCAAGAAAACCCCAAAAGTCACAAAGAGTTGGATAGGACTGAACAACATTGCTCATATTTTTCCTTCTTTAAAAAAAAAAAAAAGAAATGGGTCTCCTTATTCTATCTGGAAATACAGGGCCACTGACAGGCTCAATCCCATTGTGACTGTAAGAACTTTAACCTGCTCTATTTCCAAACTGGGCTATTTGTTCCTCCTAGGTAACCTCGTCCTCCCCACTTCTCTACTTCCCACTCTCAAGAGCTCACCACATTAATTGCAGATTTACTACAAACACCAGATTGGCTTAGCACACTGACACTAAGAACTTCTGAACTTAAGAGATGTCAGACTCAGCATTTCTGGTAACATGATCATGCCCAACCCCCTAATTCTTTCTCATATCAGAGGTTTGATATTTAATTAACCCTGTCCCATGCTAGCTTACTTTTAGCCTATGAGCAATATAGTAGTGTCCATAGCCCCTTCTACTGTTTTATGGAGTTTATACCAGATGAAAAATTATTATTATTATGACAATAACTCAGAGCCCCCAGTTAGGAAAAATCCCCAACATTCAAATACATGGAGGTTTGCTTCTCTGTCCCATTTTGTGTATCTATAGCTAACTCCAGATCTCTTAATGTTTGAGGCAAAATAAGGATACAGGAATTTTTAGATAAAGTAAATAAGTAGAGGGTATTAGAGTGTCTGTTAGTAGAAAGATATGGAGATGGGAAGGTGGAGAAAGAGCAGGCTTTTGGGGGGAACAAACCTTAAAGATGTGAGTACAACCAAGTGACAGCTTCTGTCTCAACCCTGTGGTCTGAGATGCTTGCTTATCTCCCTTCTTTGCTGCAACTCAGATTTTTTTTTCATTTTCTCCTTTTGATTTTTCATTTTCATTTTCTGCTTTCAGTTGCTGCCCCTATGTTGCTGATTCTTTCACTTTCCACTCATTAATTCCTGCAGAGTGAATGTTGCCGCTGCTGCTGCTGAGCACTTGCATTGGGTCCCTTTAAAAACTCCTGGGTTACCTACAGTTCAAAGATAGTTCCAAATCACTCTCAGGGCTGAAAGGAAATATACTTATCCATCTGAACTACAAATTCCAGTTTACAAGTAAGTTCTCAAACCACCATTATATTTTTGTAATGTTTTTCCTGTCTGGTGCCTTTTAACTCTTTTTGGAAAAAAAAAGTATTCACTATATATATGAGAGTGCCACTTCACTATTGTCCACATATCTCTGGAAATATATTTTCCAACACATTTTTATTATTTTCCATTATCCATTTGCACTGAAATAACTAGCTATCAACATACATGTTGATTTAATTTGAGATAACATTCTTTGTGAATTCTTATACCCTGTAATCCTCTGCAACAGATTCAGGTTGAGTGACCCTGTGACTCATTAAAAAATATATGAGAAAAATGTCTATAAGCTATTATCTCTAATGTAATAAGTTATAAACAGTGAATTGTCTAAAATCTTTTATGTTTGTGCAGTAAAAAATTTACTCATCTAGATAATATTACTTAGATTCTATTTCCTTTGTTGAAAAGGTTTAAGATCAACAAAAGTGCTCTCTTATGTATAATTTCTTGCTATAGAAGTTAGGTTTAATGCGACCCAAGGAAGGATTTCCTAAATTAATTTGGCTAGGTGCAAGAAGGAATGAAATAAGCCTTTATTAAGTGCCTATCATGTAATAAACTCTGGTGCTAAGCCTTTTTTTTCTTATAAATACAAGCATACCACAGAGATATTGTGGGTTTTGTTCTAGACCACCACAATGAAATGAATATTGCAATAAAGTGAGTCATACAAATTTTTTGGTTTCCCAGTGCATATAAAAGTTATGTTTATGCTATACTGTAGTCTATTAAATGTGCAATAGTATTATGTCTAAAACACGTACGTACCTTAATTAAAATCCTTTATTGCTAAAAAACGCTAATCATCATCTGAGCCTTCAGAGAGTTTTAATCTTTTTGTTGGTGGAGAGTTTTGACTGGATGTTGACGGCTGCTGACTATCAGGGTGGTGGTTGTTGAAGATTGAGGTGGCTGTGGCAATTTTATAAAATAAGAGAACAGTGAAGTTTGCCAAAGAGATCGGACTCTTCCTTTCACATGAATACTTAGAGGCCATTATAGGGTTATTAATTGGCCTAATTTCAATATTGTTGTGTCTCAGGGAATAGGGAGGCCTAAGAGAGGCAGAGAGATGGAACAGCGGGTTGGTGGAGCAGTCAGGACACACACAACATTTATCTATTTAGTTTGCTGTCTTCAATGGATATGGTTCATGGAGCAAAACAATTACAATAGTAACATCAAAGATCACTGATTATAGATCACCATAACAGATATAATAATAATTTAAAAAAGTTTGAAATAATTGTTAGAGTTACCAAAATGTGACATTGAGACAAGATGTGAGCACATGCTGTTGGAAAAAATGATACCGATAGACTTATTCAATGTAGGGTTGCCACAAACTTTCAATTTGTTTTAAAAAAAATACAATGTCTGTGAAGCACAGCAAAATGAGGAATGCCTGTATTGTTTCATTTGACCCTGTGAAGTAGATGCTATTTTTATCCCCATTTTATAGTTGAGGAAGCTGAGGCAGACAGAAGTTGAATTACTTGCCCAGAGTCACATTGAGTATTTGACCCTGGATTTGAACTCATGCTTCTGACTCTAGGATCTAGCTGAACCATCCACTGAACCATCTACCTGCCTAGATTTTGGAATTTTGGATTCTGGATTTTGGATTTTAGATTTTGGAATCTGTTTTCGGAACCCAGAAATGTCCTCTGTCACATTTGTGGGTCATGTTAGGATCAGGTGCATTAGTAAGGACCAGCATTAAGACACAGACAGAAATTAGTTGTCTGTTAAAGTAAAGCCCAAAATAGGTGTCACTGCCAGAGCCTATAGGCTTGCCAATGATTCTGACTGAGGAGAAGCAATGGCAGACCTAGCCTGTGGCGCTCCTTATGATTCAGAGCAGGGCAGAGTTGAGGAAGGCACCCCTCAACCATAGAAGGCTTCAGCTTGAGTAATATTACCCAAGAGAAAGAGTAATTTCAGCAACACTCCTGATGACATGATGCCCTAAACAAGCTCCTAGCTTTCCCACTTCCACGTCAATCCCTTAGACATTAGTGTCTCCCAAGAAATCTTGGCTCCCCGTGTGAATTTCTGGTTTATACTCCCTTGGAAAATGATTTGGACACATTTCACCCCCTTTAAAGGAGGAAGCTAGGCGGTGCAGCAGAGTTCAAATGCAGTCTTACTAACTGTGTGATCCTGGGCAAGTCACTTAATCTCTATTTCCCTCAGTTTACAAAAGTACCTACTACTAGGACTCTTGTGAAGATCAAACGAGATAATATTCATAAAATGCTTACCAAAGTGCCTGGAACATAATAAGCACTATATAAATGCTGTTGTTCAGTTGTGTCCAACTCTTTGTGACCCCATTTGGGGTTTTCTTGACAAAGATGCTGGCATGGTTTTCCATTTACTTCTCTAGCTCATTTTTATAGATGAGGAAACTGAGACAAACAAGGTTAAGTGACTTGCCCTAGGTCACATAGCTAGTAAGTCTCAGGCCAAATTTGAACTCAGGAAGATGAGTCTTACTGACTCCAGGGCCAGCTCTCCAGGCACTATGGCACCACCTAGCTGCCCATATAAATGCTAGCTGTTATTATTTCCAATAGTAATTTTTACCTCAGCCATGATTATTACCCTACTGAGTCAATTCTCTTGCAGAGGTCATGCCTAAACTGTCTCTTTCCTCTTTAAGTTCTCTGGATGACCCATTGTTCAGGTATGGACCGAACAAGGTGACTTCTGCAGACCTTCTGAACTCTCAGATCCTATGATCCTGTCATCCACAAGTAAAGGAAAGTTTTCTTTAAATGTTAGGGGGGTTATGTTCATTATAATTTAGATCCACTGGACTGGGTAGGGAAGGAGAACAGATGACAGAGACGCTATGCAATGGAAAGATGGCAGTTACATACCAGACAGGAAGAAGAAATGCTTTTTAAAGACCTAGTGAGATGCAATTTGAAACTCTGTGACACAGCTGTCAATAGTCAGAAAGTGACACCTCCAGCTTGATCCAGCTGCTCTGTGACAATTGGTGATGGAGTAGCTCAATGGTAACAAAAAGGTTGTGATGTCCACAGGACAAAGAGATCAGTCCATGAAGAGTGATGGGCCAAGAATACAGCAGCTGCTGTCTTTTAACAAAGGACTGATCAGGTTTAACTTAAGTGGGATATCATCAAAGCTCAGATCTGTTATTTCCTTTTTGACATATATATCTAAAAGTTGCTGGGAAATGTACTGACAGCAGTCATGTAGTGTTTGGTATCCTAAAAAAGAAAAAGTCCTTTAAGGTCAACACAAGCCGGTTTCTTTTCAGAAAGAAGGCAAGCTGTTAGCTTAATTTTCTTCCACTCAATTTGCTTTTCTATTTGCATTTTAACTTGATTACTATTTTTTTTTGTTCTAAAATCCTATTGGCTTTCTGCATTTTGAATTCAACTGGGCTTTGGTTTCAAAACATGATTAAAACCTAGTTTGGCATTAACTCTGTTCATCTATTATTCCTCCTCACCATCCACTCCTCCTGCCAATGTTGACGTCGTTCTGTGTTTCCAACAGTGGCTGCCAAACACAACCTCAAAGGGAGTTGAAGATGTATATCCTTCATGAACATGACTTACAGGACAAACTTCCTCCTTCTTAGTTTTGGGAGAGCAGAGGGTTTTGAGATATTTGCTAGTTATAATTTCACCCAGCAAACTCAACCACTTCAGGCCATTCACACAAGCCTTTTCTATACCCCCAAATTTGATAAGAGGCTCTTTTTTTTTTTTTTGTTAGCAGTTGGTGATCTTTTCAGTAGAGAACATTTAGGATGTATAGGGATATGAGTGTGGCAAGGTGGAAGAAAGCAAGGTAGAAAATGCTTTGAGGTCACTGGCTAAAGTCTGTGCTTTATTTTTTGAAAATGTGGAGTTACTGAGAAGGCATAAGCCATGGTTGAACATAGCATACTCATCTGGTAACAAAATAGGAAGGGGAGTCAATGAAAGTGGAAGGCATTTAGAGGGGAAATTTTGGTAGTCTGTTTTTGCCTGAGCTAAATGTGGCTTAGATGAAGGATTTGGCAGTGGGATGCAATGAAAGGAATGCTGTCCCTTGGTCCTTCCCCCCTGCCCCCCAGTTCCCCTCACCATCCTGGAACAAGAGAGGGACACTATAATGTGACAGTGAACAAGAAAGCTTTTAGCTTGGTCTCTTCTTTGGACTGGCTCAGACTGATTGGTTGTGTATTTTAAGGGTCACCAGAGAGAAGTGGTAAAACACTATGGGCAAACACATTAATACCTCCTCATCTGCTATTACATCCTTTGATGACATCAGGTGAGCTGGGGAGAAAAACCCAATTCTGCCTCTTTCCCCACCCTCCACCTTCTGTAAGGAATGTCAGATTAAGATGTGTCAGATGTTGGGCAAGACTGTGGAACTGTCATGGTTGTGGGAATTATTTTAGTATTAGGGAAGGTTTTGGTATAAGAACTATTAAGTTGTCCCTCTAAGATAATACGTTTTGGGTCAGGGTGAGAAATTCCATTCAGATAATAGGAGATGCTGTTCTGCACTGAAAGAGGGAAGGCAGGAGCAGAGATGTGCATTTGGGAGTTATCCATGGCTCAGCTCAAACACCACTCCCCACATAAGGTCTCTCCTGGTCTGCTCAATTGTTGGTGCCCCGTCATGTCAAATTACTATTTAAAACAACCTTTGTATATATATACATCATATTTACTTTATCTGAGTATATGTCATTTTCCTTCAGTAGAATATAAATTTCTTGAGGACAGGGATTCTTCATTTTTGTCTCTGTGATCCCAGGGTTCAGCATGGTCCCTGGCACAACAGATGCCTAACATAAATGCCTGTTGAATTTGAATTGAATCCAAGTACAGATGACAATTGAAATACAATATCAAATAATCTCTTCAAGGGAGGAGAATCAATCAATCAGTAATAATTTACTAAGCACCTACTATGTGCCTACTATATGCTTAGTGTTGAGAATACAAAGATAGAAGCAAAAGTAGTCCTGCCCCAAGGAGCTTACAGTATAGCTAGAGAAGATAGATAATATATACATATATATATATATATATGCATACATTCACATATATATGTATATATGTATGTATGTATGTATTTGTTGTTTAGTCATTTCAGTCATGTCCAACTCTCCATGACCCCATTCGTTTTGTTGTTGTTTTTGTTTTTGGCAAAGATGCTGGAGTGATTTGCCATTTCCTTCTCCAGCTCATTTTTACAGATAAAGAACTAAGGCAAACAGGGTTAAGTGACTTGCCCAGGGTCTCACAGCTAATAAATGTCTGAAGCCAGATTTGACCTCAGGTCTTCCTGACTATAGGCCCAGCATTCTATCCACTGTGTTACCTAGCTGCCCATATATATTTATATGTATATGCAAAATACATACAAAATGCTTATCAGGTGCTTTTGAGAGAAAGGAGCTGTGAGCATCAGAAAAAGTATCCCATGTGGAAGGTAGCATTTGAGCTGGGCCTTGAAGAAAACTAAGAATTGTAAGAGATGAAATAAAGTGTAAGTACATTCCAGGACATCCAGTAGAAAGGCACAGAGTCAGGAGACGAGTCCCAAGTAGGAGGAGAAGCAGAATACTAATCACAGACTGATGGTGATAGTCTCTATACAGCAATTCACCCTGTGACTTCCACTGGGAACTGTGCCAGTGAATTGAGCAATGACTGGGGGTAAAGGGAAAGTCTCCCTCCGGGGGAAAAGAAGGGCATATATCTAAATATACATGAGAAGTATTGAATAAATAAAAATACACACATTGTGTGTGTATATACATACTTATATACATACATAGAGAAAGGTATACACACACACACACACATATATCATTGTCTATATAGAGGAATATATACATATACTTATGTAAAACATTATATGTTCCCAGATTTGAATACTATACATAGTACTATCTATAAATAGAAATGTGTGTTTGTATATAAATATATATAATACCCTGTACATTCCCAAAATATTAGTTTGTGTATAGATATATAATGTATATTTGTATACAGTAATATGTATGTAAAATATATATACATATATACAAATATGTACACAAATATATGTGTATATGAACAAAGTGTATAGAATTGGAAATATACAGCATATTAATTTGCTATATAACTAAATACATACACACATACACACACACACACAAACACACACACATATGACTGGAGCTGTGATTTCATTGATATAGGGAATTACCAAATAAGGAAACTTTCCCTGCCAATGCAGGTCAGCACTTTTTGGGCAACTTAGAGAATTAAGACAGTTGCCTCAGGCACTGAAAGGTTAAGTGACTTGCCTAGGGTTATACAACCAGGATATGTCAGAGGCAGAATTGGAATTCAGGTCTTCCTGGCTCCAAGATCAACTCTCTATCCACTATACCATGTGTGCTACCTCTCATGTGACACTTCACCCCCCCCTTCCTACATACAAACCAACATTTTATATATACTCAGATATTTTCATTTCATTTTAACGAGTTTTCCTCATGAAAACCAATTAAAATTTGAGGTTTAATATAGCATGTAGCAAAGATTTATGGAGCCAACAAATGTTAAATAGATTCATTTTAATCTAAAATCATGAAAGAGTCCCTACAGAGCTTCATAATAAGCAGTAAACACAGAAGACTATTCTCAGTGGTAAGTAATGTTGTTGAAATAAGCAGCACAAAACTATTGAGATTTCCAAGACAAAATCTTAATCTAATAATTTTTAGCACATCTGTGTCATTCAGAATTTTAAAATTATATTTGGTAAACTTTCATGTAACATTATAAAAACATGGATTTTATTGAAGTATGGGAATATGGATTTGCCTTTAAGCCCTAATCCATCACATAATCCATTAGCTGAAGACAAAATTGTTAAGCTCTAGACTGAGTTCTGTCACTTGCCCACTTAGAAGAATCAAATCTTCATTGCTGGGTCATCAATCTAGACCTTTTCTTATTCTAGTCAGTCTCTCTACCCTCCTTTTGCACACCTTCTGACTCCTCTACCACCCCAAATCTTCCTCTCCTTACAAAAGAGTAGCTTGGTTCTAATTCTTAATACCTAAAACTGTTTCCTTTAGAAATGAAATTATGGTAGAAAAAAATCAATGTGATCAACACATGAAGGGAACTAGATATTTACCATGAATTTAAGTGCAATCTAAAGACAAACCTCCTACTCATGGGGAAATCTGCTGGGGTTGGGAAACAGGTCAGAATGAAATTCCTGAGGCATATATTAAAATAGAGTAGAAAGTAGAAGTTGCTATCAAATGAACATTTACCTTAGTCTATTACAAACCCCACCATAGCATGTACTTGTTATGCATTAGATGTGTTTACTTTTGCAGCCAAATGTCTATTGTTGAAATATATTTATCAAATTTCATGTATTGTATCTGAGCAACCAAGTTTCTCATCCCAAATTTTGTATACTGTATGTTTTACATATGGTACCATGATTTACAAATGCTTGTTGAATGAGGCATGAACATTCAGAGTACCTCCTAATTATCAAGTTATCAAGTGTGCCAGGAATTCCTCTGCTTGGATCAGGAACTTGATATAATCCAGGGGTGATTCTGATTGGTGAGAGAAGCCTGGTCCAAGAACTCCATTCTTTTACAGCTGCTTCTGCCATCTCTGGGACCACATTTTTAGTCTATAAACATTTGTTAAGTGCCTACTATATCAGGAAAATTCATCTTCCTGAGTTCAAATCTGGCCTTGGACACTAGCTGTGTGACTCTGGGCAAGTCACTTAACTCTGTTTGCCTCAGTTTTTCATTTGTAAAATGAGCTGGAGAAGGAAATGGCAAACCACTTCAGTATCTTTGCCAAGAAAACCTCAGATGGGATCATAAAGATTTGGACATGACTAAAATGACTGAACAAGAACAACACATGTCATGCGCAGTGCTAAGCATTGAGGATACAAAGAAAAGCGAAAGGCAGTCCCTGCCCCCAAGATGCTCACAATCTAATAGGAGAGATAACAAGAAAATAAATATATGCAATCGAGCTATTTAAAGCTTATTAGCGGAGAATGATTAAGATAGGGAAGGCACTAGAATTAAGAGAGATTGGAAAGACTTCCTGTAGAATGTGGGATTTTAGCAGGCCCTTGAACAAAGTCAGGGCAGCCAGGAGGTGAAGATGAGCATGAGGGATAGTCAGAGAAAATGCATGAAGCTGAGAGATGGAGTGTCTTCGTTTGAAGAATAGCCCGAAAACCAGTGTCACTGCATCAGAGACTACGTGGGAGGGAGTAAAGTGTAAGAAGACTTGAAAGGTAGGGGTTGGGATTCTAGGTTATGAAGGGCTTTGAATGCCAAACATAGCATTTTGTATTTGACCCGGGAGGCAATAGGGAGCAAATGGTATTTATCGAGTTGGGGAGGGAGTGATATTTTCTTCTCTTTACCCCCAAAGGGGAAATTGTTCAAAATGCCTACAGAATCAAGCAAACTTCATGAAGTAAGAGATCATCGGTAACTTTGGAGAAAGCAGTTAGGTAGAATGATGAGGTCAGAAGATGGATTTTAAGTAGTTAAGAAGAGAATGAGAGAAGAGAAAGTGGACATTCCTATTGTAAACAGCCTTTTCAATAAGTTTAGCCACAAAGGGCAAAAGAACTAAAGAATCATAGGGATGGAAGGATCAATGAGGGTTTTTCAGGATAGCAAGGAATCAGCAAATTTGTAGGCAGTAGAGGAGTCAGCAGATAGTGAGAGAGAAAATAAGTGATAGAATGGAGATAACAGTTGGAGGAAACAGTATAGGTAGTTACCTGATCTATGTGCTTCCTTGAAGTACCTGGTTACTTGGAAGGATCATGTGTAATCTTTCCTGCATAGGACATGAATCCATATATGTGTCCCAACAGCTTTTAACTTTTCAATTCTGGTTTTCTTTCTCTCTATCCTATGAGTCCCTGCCCTCCATTTTAATTCTTTATAAAATATATAACAAAATACATATAGCAGTACTTTTTGTGGTATTGGAGACCTGGAAAAAAGGAGGTAGTCATTGATTGAGGAATACCTGGGAAATAATTATATATAATTTGAATCAGATATTATTATGCATTAGGAAAGGACAAATATGAGGATTTCAGAGAAGCACAGGAAATTTTGTATGAAATGATACAAAATTAAATAAGAACCAAAAGAACCATGTGAATAATGATATCAGTGCGAATTAAAAGATCACTGAAAATAATCTTGAATAATTGGAAACCAATGAATGTACTAAAAAAATGAAATATATCTTCCACCTCATAGAAGTGGTCATTGTCTCAAATGTTTTTGCTTTATTGTTTTGTTTTTGTTTTTTGCGAAAAGAATTGTTCAATCTGGAGGATGCAGAATATTATTTTTCCTCTCCCAGTTATGACTGTGGTGTAAACACAGGTAAAGAGGCATTAATTGTGTGTGTATCTATATCTATATATGTGTGGGTATTCATATATATGAATACCGTATATATATATGTATATACAGAGAGAGAAAAAGAGAGATGTCTAGGAGTACATCTATATATATATATATATATATATATATATATATAATATATATTATATATATATATATATATAATTATATTATATATATTTATTTTAAATCTTCTATAGAACATTATGAAAGGACAAAAAGGAGAATGTCACTGAATGAGAAGATATGGAAGGGTTATGATCTGATCTGTGTTGGAGAAGATACCCATATCAAGGAATTCTATCTACAGAACCAGCAACTTATCAAAGTATCATAAATTTCTTCTATTAGAAGAAAAAGTTTCCATGTAGAAAGTGAAAATCTGAGGATTTTTAGTTGTGGCTTCTTAGCTGATTCACTGAATAAATCTGTTTACTGCATCTGAGTCAATTATCTCAGTAGTCATTTCTATAAAAAGAAAATGTAATTTCTTTGTGAATTACTTTTCTATTCTTGACTGAAAGGTCCTTTCATCTTCACAGGAAACATTGGAATCCCAAATGTCCTCATGCTGAATGGGAAATCTATGCCAAGAGGGAATAAGGGAACAGAAATACTGTGTAAGAATTCGGTGAGGCGTATTGGGGATGGAAATAATAAAATGACAGTATCCTAGTTGCAGCTTTTCATATGTGGAAATGACACAGTTGATTGTCAAGATCTGTTTGAACCATGAACCCATCTTTGACCCTAGTCTTTTTGGATGAATCAGCTAGAGATGAAGTTCCTGCACTCATCTGAGTCCTGCTTCCTAGCTCAGTTTGGGTCACTTGGTCTAGCCCACAGTGAACTCTTGCATTGAGCCACACTCTGGGATCTGGTCAGTGTGAGCTAGATAAAGAAGCAGGGAGGTAGATAATGATGTTCTATATCTTTCTCTCTTCTGGACTAGTCTATATGTAATTGTATGTACATATGTTGTTCATATGTATATGTAGTTGGCACTTTGCTGCATACATTATTAATGTTTCATAGTTTAAGTTTTGTTTGCCCAACTAGGTTGTAAGCTCTTTGAGAGCAAGTAATACATTTTATATGTAACCAGTGACCCAGAACTGATGTTCTGGGTTTATAGGAAATAGACTTGATTGGAGGGGGAGGGGCACTACTTACATAATCTTTGTTTTTCTGGCTTTTTGGCTTCACCCAAGATCTTCTCTAGGGACTTCAGAATTTGGCATCTTTTGCATCCCATCCTCTACTCCCCTCCCAACTCTGTCCCAGGGTTTACCTTGGAAATAAATATTTAGTTTATGTTTAGTTCTCTACAAAAAAGAAAAAGATATCCAGCTCTCATACAAGTACTATAGGTAACAAGGCATCAAATATGGGACTGATTCATTTTAACATGACAATTAAAGAAAAAAAGGTATAATTGAAATTATACATAATCAAAACAAATCTCCTCCCTTCTCTAGGAGGCAGCTAGGAGGCACAGTGCATAGAGCACTGGGCCAGGAGTCAGGAAGAAATAGTTCAAATCCCGTCTCAGAAACTTAACAGTTGTGTGATCCTGGGCAAGTGACCTAACCACTGTCTTCCTCAGTTTCCTCAATTGTCAAATAGGGACAATAATAGCACCTACCTCCCAAGGTTTTGGGGATAATCAAATGAGATAATACTTGTAAAGTTCTTGGCATGTGCCTTATACATAATAGTCACTTAATAAATGCTTATGTCCTTATAGTGAGTCTCCTTCCCAGATGTATCTATGGTCCTTCTGACTTATAGTACTATCATAGATTGACCCTTCCCCCATCCCCAACAAACATATAAGGCAAAAGAACTCAGGGTTGTTAGAGTCAACTAATTCCAATAAACTCCACCTCACGGAGAGATGGGGCTTTGCAGTTCTTTACATTGATAGTAAACCCCAGAGGGGCTATCTCTACCTTAAAATGGGAAATTGTTCAAAATGCCTAGAGAATCAAGCAAACTCTGTCTCCTGGATTTGTGTATTCAGTATCCCTCACGGTCCCAGTGAAGGGCAAGGTCTGGGTGTGTTTTTCATATAAAGATTTTGTCTTGACTCCTGCTCCCACTTAGTTCTGGATCTTGATTTGGGCCAGGAAATCCTCTTCTGGGTCTTGAACACTTAGTTCAAGAGCATCTCTTGGGGGCAGCTAGGTGGCGCAGTGGATAGAGCACTGGCCCTGGATTCAGGAAGACCTGAGTTCAAATCTGGCCTCAGACATATAACACTTACTAGCTGTGTGACACTTAACCCCATTTCCTAGCCAAAAAAAAAAAAGAGCATCTCTGTCACTTCACTGCTGCCTCCAAATTTTCCTAGTTTTGTGTACCACCACTATGAGTGAGACATAGGTTCTATTGGCTCCATGGCATCGCCATTGATGAAAAGCTCCTTGAGATAGATGTGAGGTCCTCCACATTAAAGAGGTCAGTATCTTAACACTGCTCTCAGAAATGCCCGTAGTTGTTGAGGTTGACTTCTCATTTGGCTCATCCCACATCCTTCTAGTGTGGTGAGAACACATTCAATCTTATCCTGAATTTCTTCCTCTGTTGATCCTTCCAATTCCCAAGCACTGGAAGGTTCATTGCTTTTGTGGAGTTCTTTCCCAGTACTGTTTTCTATTTTCTCAGAAGCTTTTACATAAGAGCCACAAATTGTCATGATTTTAAGTACTGGGCCCTGGCTCAAAGACTTATGACCTTAACCTCCTCAGTAAAAGCCAAACTCACTACAGCATAAATCAAATCCGAAGAGTCTTTCTCCTTCAGGAAACGTAAACCTAGCCCCTAAACAAACTATAGAGTTTACATTGGAAGGATGTGTCATGTAAAATTATGAGAATATGTCTTTTTTGGATCCACTCTCTAGCAGAGCAGGATGTTCCCCATCTTTGAGTCATCATTGTCGCTGCTATGTGAGATCCTATGAGTACGTGTGCAGAGAAGCCAGGGAATGTTGTTGAGGCAGGTGTTTTGCTCTACAAGACTCAGAGTGGCTTCCAACCATGTTCCCATCTCTGTTTTCCTGATGTTGTGCCAATAGACTTCAGTTTGGGCAAATGAAAGCTGAGTTCTCTTTTCCAAGTACTCTCACTCAGAATTAATATCTCTATCTTTGTAATGAAAGACAATCTGGCTTTTTGGACTACATTGTTGCTTTTTGTGGATACAGCTTCATTCAGCCTTTGGTCTAGGCTTCTTCCCTCCAGTAGAGGGATTTGTCCCTGGTTTGTCTTGCAGTAGGATTGGCCATAGCCTCTTAGGTAAAATCCAATTGAATTTATGTGACTTTTGGTCTCAGTAGCCTATACTTTAGGAGATAATCTAGGGACACATGTGATTGGTTTCTGACATTTCTAAATACTCTTGGTCTACTATCTTCATGTCTATTTATTGGGACTAACCATTTCAACTTTAGATAAGTGGTAAAATGTCCTTGCCGTGGCCAAAGGATTTCATTATACATTAATCTCCTTGACACATGGGTTATTTTCATTGTCCATCTGCTCCATAGGTATTATTCACTTGATTTTTACTCTGTGAAGCGGACTTTCTCATCCTAAAACAAAGTTGCAGGTTGTCTCATTCCTCTCCCTCTCCCATTAGAGAGTATTGAACAATTTGACAGAATTGGCCTGTTTGCTTAGGCATCATTAAATTGCACATATGTCATTAGCAAGTCTTGGAGTACCATGACCTTAGGGCTTTACATTTTCAAGGTGTATATCAGGTCAGGTGCAAGCTCCCTGAGGCTTTCCATTAATCCCCTACATTTCTCAGACTCATTTCCACGCAACTCTTACTTTCAGTGGCATATCTTAGTCAAGGTTCTAAGAAATCTTTCTGGTGGGTAGAGATACTCCCCTAAGAATGACTAGAATTCATTATGTAAATTTTGGGTCCCTTATAACAGGACTGGGAGATGGACAGCCTGATCTACAGGCCTGATCACTGTCAATGTTACAATTGGGAAGCTGACAACTGGAGAAGATGCTCATACTGGGTTATTAACTGTTGCTAAAAATGTTGACATTGGGTCACTAACTACTCCTAGAAGTATAAAAAGTCACTAGTTACAGATGAAGATTTCATTTCTCTCAGCAATCCCTTTATGCCATCCTTAATTCATTCTGCTCTCTTCAGAAAGAGCATTGAACTCATTAATCAAGCCCTGTTCAGCAGTGGTAGGTTTGGTTACCATTTTGCAAGACTCAAAAAAAAAAAAGTCCTTCAAGTCTCAGTTTACCAATCAACATGAAGACTTTTCTGAGTGGTAATGCCTTGCCCTCCAAATTTCCTTATGTTAATCATGTGTATAGTCTGTATATGCTTATATATTTATACATTGTCTTCCTTGATACAATCTAAGCTCCTTGAGGGCAAGAACTGTTTTGTTTTTGTTTTGGTGTCTTCAGAACAGTCTCTGGCACACATATTAGGCGCTAAATAAACGCTTGTTAATTGTTTGACTGAAGCACACCACTTGTCAGCTCTCTTAGGGATATCTTCCAGTTTTCTGAAGCTCACATAGCACAGTGAATATATAATATTTTCTGTATACATCCCCCAGGAACTTGCACCATACCCTGTCCTGCCCCAGTCCACAGCATTATATAAAATCTCTTCAACAACATCACTACCATAATCAATGAGTACTCCTCCAAACTCACAGTCCTTGATGATCACATCCCATAATTATGGGGAGCCATAGTAGCTGTTCATTTTAGCAGAAAAATATACAATGTACACTAACAGTCCAACAAAATACATCATTAAATTTCAGCACAGTTTGACATTGTTTCCTTAGATCATTTTGCCTGGGTTGGTAATAGAGCTTATTTGTCTGATGTGGAAGGGGTGAAAAGGAACAGGAGAAACTATTGACAAATTACAGCCTTGTTCTTGAGGAAAAGGAAAACAAAAATTCTTCAATGGATTCCTGCAATATTAATGCAGATAGCTTCAGCATAACCCAACAACATCCATAAGTGAATGAATGAAAGAACATTTATTAAACACTCACTCTGTGCCTGACACTGCGCTTAAGTATTCAAGATGCAAAAATTTAAAGAGAGACAACTTCAACTCTCAAGGAGCTCATATTCTAATAGGCAAAGACAAAATATATAAAGGAGAAATGAGCATGGGAGTTTTGTTCTGGAGAGTTGGGGACTGGGGGAGGAATGTGGTACTAAGGGGTAGGCAGGACTGGGTGGCTAACTGGATAGATGGGATGTGAAACTAAAGTGTGGGCTCTGGAGAGAGCTAGCAGATATCATGGAGTTGGCTAAGTGGATTAGTTCACATACATTCAGTCAACTGAGTTGGGCCCTAGAGCAAGAGCTCCAAAGATTAGTGAATTCAGAAAGAGCTAGATATGGAGGTCCATGTCTCTGGCATGGTGTGGAAGATGTTAGTCCAGGTGGGGAGGAGCAGTTCATCCAAGAGAAGAAGATGGTGAATGGCCAGGGGTGGATGGCCACATGGGATATGAAGCTGAAGCATAGTCTGGGGCATTCTTCAAAGATCCTGTTCTATTCCCTATGAAAATACAGTAGATTCCCTGCTTAACTCTGGATCCCAGAGCTACTCAGGTTGAAAGTGGGGGAAAAACACAGCTCAAGCCTCAAAACTCTATGGACTGGGCAGGAATCACAAATCAAAGAGTAAAGCATTTACCTGAAACTGCAAATAAAGCAAGATAAAGTGTAGGAACAACCACATAGTAGAATAATTCTTAACCCAAAAAAAGCAAATGAGAACAATCTCCCAAAGAATAAAGAGCCAGTGGGGATAAAGGAGTAACTTCTTCCCCCATTGTTCACCAGCTAATGCTCAGATGAGATGGGGGTGACTGTTTGCATTATGGGTAAAACACCTTTCTGGGTAGCTCTTGGCCTCCATAGTTGACACTGGAATAAATTTCAGAAACCATCCAATAGAAAAGCTCCTCCTTGGTATTTATCACTCACCAAAAGTCACCTCCAATGCTTCTTTGCCCCTTCTTGGCCATTGCCCCCTCAGGTTTCTTCATGGCCATCTATTCAAGTTCCCTATTTCTTCTTACTGATGCTTTTAGATTAGTGTAATTACTTGTTTGTATTTAAACTGCATGGGCCTGAAGGCTGCCTTAAGTCAGCATTCTGACTTAAGTTGGACCATAGTGACCATGGATGTGCCTGGAGTTATTTATGCACTATATTCTTCCATCTAAGTTTTTCATCTACTCCATAGTTTCACATAGGTGGTACTTAAATGGCCCACCAGACAGCTGCCATCAGATGTCTTTTTTATTACCTTCTAAGGAGGATCCCCAGCCTCATTCCTAGCTGGGTGAGTGACTTTTCCTCACCTTATGGGACAAGCAGTATGCTTCCCCTATAGTCCCTGGTAAAAATGTTAGAGTCTCCCATTTTTGTCCTTCTGAGGCTGGGAGTAGCCTGTCCCCCTTGGTAGTCACATTTTGTCATGCTAATTATCCTGAAGATTTAATTTCTCTGGGAGTCACCAGAGAAGGGAAGGAGGAAGCACCGAAGCTACTAGTCATTCTTGCCATCACTGTGAAGCCTGGTCTGTCCCTCTTAAACTTGGAAGGCCTGAGATTAGAAGAGTTGGTTATACCCAGAAGGATGATTCATGTGTTTTGTCAAGGAAATTTGTTTGTCCACACTATCCAACCAAAGCTCATTCTGCTTCTGTCATTTTTGTTTAGAAGATCAAAAAGCTTTATTTTGTCTGTACCCCCTTTTGTTAGCATTTGGAAAAGTTTTTTCCTAAGCAATTTCTGATTGAGATTTTCTAATTTTACTCAGATTTGCCATGATGTTTATAATAATATGTGGATATTTTATGTAATGCTCTAAAGGCCTTAGTGGATTTTACAGATATGATCTCATTTTGAGCCTCATAATAACTTGCAAAGTAGGCACTGCAAGCATTAAGTAGCTCCAGTTGTAGATAAGGAGATAACTGGTAAAAATGTGAACGTGGACTTTGTATTTTATTCATCGATAGGTTTGACCACTGTATGGAAACATATAGCATGTCCTGGAAAATTTTCTCTAAGTTTTTCAAGGGTTAATCTATCTTATGCAGATTATTGAATCAAAAAATTTAAATACATTTGCTAGTTTTATTCATGCGGTACTAGATCATCTTGCCTTGCAGTGCCAATAATAAACATAAACTAAGAGACTATACACAGATAATTCCATCTGATGTACCAACATACATTGCAGAAGATGAATATAAGAATTTTACAGGATTCTGCAAACCATGTCCACATCTTCCTTGATATTTTACTTACAAGTTATAGGGAAGGGCAGAGAAAAAAAAATTTGAATTTATGCTTAACAACAAGAAATGGTGAAGTCCAAAGACTTAGAAGCTACTGAGGAGCCTCATATCTGAACACAGAGGTGCATCAACTCAAAATTAGCTCTCAGGAGTGATTGCTAAATTCTCAGTGTGAGCACTTAGACCTCCAAAATCAGAAAATGTTACAAAGCAGGGCTTGGTTTATTATTTTGTTGATTTCTAGGTGAAAGAAAGTGTTACAGAAAATATCAATAATGCAGATTGAACTTAAAGTGTGTCACAACTATCTTTTTTTTCCCTTCAGTGTCAATTGTTAATCATTTACCAGCATGCCACTGTTTGCACATCATACATCACTTCTAGAAAAGAAATATAAGCACATAGCAACATTACAAAATATAAAACTGACTATGCTTAAAAAATGTTTATTTTTTTAACATTCATTTTTAAATTTTAAGTTCTGAGCTCTCTCCCTTCCTGCAGTCCTCTAGTCCATTGAGAAGGCAAGCAATATGACACTCATTATACATGTGAAGAATTGACTATACTTTAACAGACAAGAAGTGGCCCATTAAAGACTTGGCAGTAATTTCAGATTCAGTTGTCTGTGTGTAGTCAGATCATTGAATGGTTAGGAGAAATGTGAGAAGAAAAGCTAAAGACAAGAGGAAGCTGCAAGTAATTTAAATAAGTCATCATCTATGAAAAGTGAGAAATGAATTTCTCCCAATACTCTTTGAAAATACTAAGGTTCTGAAGGGACTTATTTTTTTCTTCCATTAGTAGAATTATTAATCATCTTCATCAAATTGCTCAAAAAAATTTACCTTTCTATGATACTCTTGACTCTTTGGTTTGCATTTTGAACTGATATTCAGCTCTGGATTTCTCAGCAAGAATGCTGGAAAGCTCCCCAACTCCATTAAAGATTCCCCCAGCTAGAAGACACCTGAACTTCTTGGCAAGCAGAGAGGAGTGACAAAAAAAAAATGCCATATAGTTTAAAAGTTCATGATTATTTGCAAAACATGATGGAGGAGAAGAATTATTATGACAATATGACCTCACAAAACATAAAAAACAACTGAGGAGAAAAGCCTACAGAGGCCTTATGGGGAATCCAGCTAAGCTAGTTTTTTTAATTTTGTTTTTTATTCTGAGCCTAAACTCTCTAAAATGAGTGTCTTTATATATACAGCAGAGCACGAAAAAAGATTTTATATAAAACTGTGAATCTCTACTTCACAAAACCTTTTTTTAAACAAGTTAATAAATTCAACAATCACAGTAGGTAAATGGGTGGTTTTAATTACATAAAAATGAAAAGTTTTTGCACAAAAAAGATGCTAAAATTAAAAAAGAAACAGGCAAATGGGATAATATTTTCAACAAGTTTCTCTGATAAAGGTCTCATTTCTAAGATATATAATAAATTGATTCAAATTTATGAGTGTAAGTCATTCTCCTAGTTGATAAATGGTCACAGGATATGAACAGGCAATTTTCAGAAAAAGAAACCCAAACTGCTGATAATCATATTAAAATGCACTAATTCACTAACAGAGAAATGAAAATTAAAACAACTCTGAAATTCCATCTTATAATCATTAGATTGGTAAAGTTGAAAAAGGAAAACTATAAATGCTGTGAGAAACATAAATACATTAATGCCCTGTAGGTGGAGCTCTGAACTACTCCAGTCAGGCATTCTTAAAAAATAATTTAGAATTATGGAAAAAATGTTATTAAACTGTGCAAACTCTCAGACCTAGCAATGCCATTACTGTGTCTATAGTTCAAAGAGATCAAAGAGAGAGGAAAAGGTCTTATATGTACAAAAATATTTATAGCAGCTTTTTATTTTTTTTTGTAGCAAAGAACTGGAAATTGAGGGAGGTGTCCATAATTGGGAGACAAAGTGTGGTGTATGATGCTGTAACAAATGTTGAAAGAGTTTCAGAAAAAACTGGGAAGATTTATATAAATTGATCCTGAGTTAAGTGGGTTAACCATAAAAGACAATAAAATTACAAATATTGCAAAGACAAACAACTTTGAAAGACTTAAAAATCTGATCATTGCAGTGATCAATTATGATTCCAGAAGACTCATAATGAAACGTTAGCCACCTCCTAAAAGGGATCTGGTGGGGGCAGCTAGGTGACATCGTGGATAAGCTCCAGCCTTGGAGTCAGGAGGACCTGAGTTCAAATCCAGCCTCAGACACATGACACTAGCTGTGTGACCCTGGGCAAGTCACTTAACCCCGATTGCCTCACCAAAAAAGGAAAAAAATAGAGATGACGGTCTTAGAGAGAGCCGGTGTGTGTGTGTGGGTGGGGGGGTATTAGGAATATGGCTACTGCAGGAATTTGTTTCATTTACACATGTTTGTTATAAGTTTTTCAAAGTAGTCCTTCTTTATAATGTTGTTGTCCTAGTACAAATTGTTCTCCTGGTTCTGCTCACTTTATTTTGTATCAATTCCTATTGCTATCTTTCTTTGAAATTATCATTTCAAAGAAAAAGTAACAGATTCTTTTTTCTCATTTCTTACAGTGCAATACTATTCCTTTACATTCATATAACACAATTTGCTCACCTATTCCATAAATGACAGGCACCCCCATAATGTGCAGTTCTTTTCTTTTTCGTTCCATTTAATCTCCCCTTCAGGACCAGGAAGTTTGCTTTGTTTGTGATTATTTTCTCCTCTGAATTATCCTCCATCTTAATCCCTCCTCTCCTTATTTCTACCTCTTTCCCAGCTGAGTTTGAGGTATGAAATATTTTTATGCCAAACTATACACGTATGTGAGTAAGTGTATTAAACCCTCTTTTGTTCAAATAAAATATGTGCAATTCATGTAATGCCTCTTCCATTCCCCTCCTTCCTCAATATTTACATACTCTTCTCATCTATTCCAAATATAAGAAGTAGTAAGTTTCACTCCCTTCTTACTCTTTTCTTCACCATTATAATCTTCCTTTTACTCTCCTTTCTCTTTCCCCTCTTCAAATCCTCTGAAAAGAATCAATCCATTCCCAGGCATCTGCTTTTCTTATGCAACTCCCTCAATACCTTTGAGAACTTTGAGGTTCTGAAGGGACACACTTCTTCCCTTAGTAGAATTATCAATCATCTCCTTCCAATTGATCAAGTAAATTTACCTTTCTAGGATACCTGACTCTTGTGTTTGCATTTAAAATTGATATTCAGCTCTGGTCTTCTCATCAGGAATTTCTGAAAGTCCTCTATTCCATCAGATTCCCACTTTTTTCCCCTTGTAGGATGATACTCAGTTTGGTAGGTTATGTTATTTGTAGTTTTACACCCAAATTTGAAATTTAATCCTAACCTCTGGTTAGTTGTTACTTGAATTGCTTCTTTATGAGTGCTTATAGTATTTTATTTTTCTTTGATGTAGGAACTCTGGACTTTGGATATATATATTTCTGGGACTTTTTTTTTCTTTTTTCTTTCCAGAAGGTGATTCGTAGATTCTTCCTATCTTCACTTTACTCTTTGGGGCATCTGGGCTCCTGAACTGAACATCTTGGGGTTTGATTTCCCCCCCTGGATCTTTGAGGTTCAGAATGCTAGATCTTCAGGGTGCTCTATAAAGTCTCAGGACAGAGGGATAGGGATCTCAGGGCCCAGGGATCCCGTTATGAATATTGCTGCACTGGGCCTGACTTTTGGCACTCATTCTTGCTTCCAAGGACCTTACTGTGGGTTTCTGACAATCCTGGGGCTTCTTCAGGGGAACTTTCTACTCTTGTTGAGTCCTCCAGAACCATGCAGGCTACAAACATTTCTGGCCTATATCTGGTAAGGCTGGGAGGCTACTCTCTTGGTGTCCCCCTAGCTTTACTGGTACAAAGCTTTACTCGTGTTCCACTTTCCTATTGCCCATGGGCTTCTGGCTAACTTTTTTTTTTCTGTTTCCTCCCTCCCTCCCTCCCTTTCTCACTCCCTTCCTCCCTCCCTTCCTTCCTTCCTTCCTCCCTCCCTCTCTCCTTCCTTCCTTCCTTCCCTTTTCTTTCTCTCTTTCTGAGGCAGAAGAATCACTAGAGTTTTTCATTGGCTCTCTAGATCATTTGGTCTGGTTCAATTTTTAGTTGCTGTTTTTCCTAGAGTAAGTATGTGGGAGCTGAGCTGGCTGAGTTCACGCAGCTATATTGGACAGAAGTCTCCTAAATTCATACCAAGAACACTTATAGATGAAACTAGAAGGCTAAAAAAACATGCAAGTTATGGGACAAGTAATTTAGGCTTACACACAAAAAGGAATGCTAAACAAAGAATCACAATAAGCAATGATAAATTAACAAGATTAATAGTATTTAATACTTTTTCTTATAATTAGGATTTCATTCCCATAGGAGACTAATATTTATACTTCATCAGAATATGAAGCTTTTTGTGCCTTATAAGAGCAATTCACAAGACTGATGATTAGGCACTTTATATTTCTCCTCAAGTCACCACTGTAAAATCAAATAGATAAGCTCATCTTCTTTTTGGTAGCTGTCCTCTAATGCAGAATCTCCCCTTACTGCCAGCCTGGTCCTGCTGTTGGAAATGATAATTTTTTTCACTGGTTTCAAGAACTTTGGACCTTTCTTAGTCACATGGTGGGGGCAGTTAAGTGGCACAATGGATATTAGGACTGGGCCTGGAGTAAGGAAGACTCAACTTTCTGAGTCCAAATCTGACCTCAGACACTTACTAGCTGTGTGATTCTGGGTAAATCACTTAAGCCTGTTTGCCTCAGTTCCTCATCTATAAAATGAGCTAGAGAAGGATATGACAAATCACTCCAATATCTTTGCCAAAAAACCCCAAAAAACCCTTAAATGAGGTCACGAAGAGTCAGACATGACTGAAATGACTGAATAATAATAACAATAACAAAGTCACATTGTCACTACTAGTGCTGGATACATTAATCACAGGATACTTGTTCATCTAAAATAAAAACATTTTTTAAAAAAAAATAAGGATGCTAGGTAATGTAGTAGATAGAGAGCTGGACTTTGAGTCGGAAAGACCTGAGTTCAAGTCCTGCCATAGATACTTAGTAGTTGGGCAAATCACTTCACTTCTCCTTGCCCATTTCCTCATCTGTAAAATAGAGATAATAATCACTTCTACCTCCAAGTACCTAGCATGAAAGACTGTGGATCAAATGAGATCAATACGTAAACTTCTTTACAAACTTAAGTGCTACATTTGTAATTGTGTCATATCATATATCATAATTTCTAGTAGTACTATTATTACTGTAGCTATCAAAAAAAAAAAAAACAAAGATGCTTGTGGCCACAAGGAGGTCAGGTGGGATATAGGGATAATTGAGTCTTAGGATTCATTTCAGAATAGTCAAAATACCACACAGCCAGAAAGAATATGTTACTGCATTTCTACGGTGAATCTATTCTCATTGTCAATAATGGTGCAACCACATTTATGAACCTGATGAACCTGGTGAAGTACCTGATAACTGTCAATCAATCAACAAACATTTTTGTGAGGAATCAGCAATGGTACTTAAGGAAATGGAATCAAGAAGAGCCACTGGACTTAATAAAATGCATGTAGAAGGCAACACAATTTTAAAGAAACCCTGGGATATATTTTTAAGACATCTTAAAAGGGCAAAGATCCTAAAAGAATGGAAAACATCATGGATGCTGCTTTTACCAAAAATAAAATGAAATGAGAAGAAATAAGCAGCTTCCAAGCCATGTACCTAGTTTGAGTGAGTTGTGAAGGCCTAAGTTTGAGGTGGTTATGTGAGCTGAAAGAAATATTGTGAAGGTAGAAATGAAAAGATTTGAGAACAAATTATATGTGTGATGTGG